GGGCTGGGTGACCATTTAGAGGTGATGTTGAAGAGATGGAAGACTGAATTGAAGGAAGGTGATGATATTAATAAATAGCTTTTATTTATTAAGCCCTTGGTCTATGTTATCATCTTACTTTTAATCCTGTAACAATCCTATGCAGCAGTTGTCCTTGTTTTGCAGACGTGGGAAGTGCATGAAACACAGAGAGGTTACATATCAAACGCCACTCAGGGAGTAAGCTCAGGACTGGAGTTGTTTCACAATAGAAAGAAAAATCATTGCTCATGTGTTGAGCAACTACGATGTCCTAGGAGTTTTGTACACATTGATCTCTAAATCTCTTTACTATGGCGAGTCCATGGTTTCTGGGGTATATGCCTCCCGATTTCTTGCCCAAGGCCCTCTTTTGGTGGGTCCCATGGACCAGAGTTTGCTAAGGTGGCTGGGGGCCCTCAGGGTAACTGCCCTACTTACCACTCTGAGGTCTGAAGAAGGCTCAGTCTTTTTTTTTTTTTTTTAATATATTTTATTGATTTTTTACAGAGAGGAAGGGAGAGGGATAGAGAGCCAGAAACATCGATGAGAGAGACACACTGATCAGCTGCCTCCTGCACACTCCCTACTGGGTATGTGCCCGCAACCAAGGTACATGCCCTTGACCAGAATCGAACCCGGGACCCTTCAGTCTACAGGCCGACGCTCTGTCCACTGAGCCAAACCGGTCAGGGCAAGGCTCAGCCTTGATAGTCTTCACTGCTCAGTGCCCCGATTATCTTCCATGCCTTAGCAAGAACAAGGCTGTGGCCTCATCTCTCTTGTCCTGACCTTTAGGGGTCAGGCAGCTTAAAAATGAAGACGTCTACATCCTTCCCATTAGCCTTTTCTGCTTAAAGGGAAATATAAGCTAACACAAAGGATTCCTAAATGGGATCTAGCTTTTAATACCGTAATTAATCTTCCGTGGGATATCATTTTTCAGATGCACGGCTTTTTTGTTTTAGTGTTTGTTTTCCCCTGTTTTTGTCCGCCCGCCCATCTCTCTGGCGCTGAGAACAAACCTGGCTTCCATCTGTGCAGCAGCTGCAGATGGGCCCTGAGGGAGCAGCAGCCATGGTCACTGGCTGCAGCTCTCAGAGCTCAGCAAGGCCTCTGGGGATGGAGGAATAAACGCTAGACTTAGGTCTGAGGCGGAGGTGCTATGTGACTTTAGGTAATCTATTTTTCCCCCGTAGTAACAGGCACTGGAATCCTTAGCTTTATACATCTTCTCCTACTGTTCTGTGTACTTTAAGAAAAACACCAACCTCGATGTGGGTTTGCGGGGATGAGAAGAGATAAACCAAAGAACTTATATACTTACATGCATAGCCCATGGGTAGTGAAGACCGGGGCGGGTAGTGGCTGGGAAGAGGGGGTAAAGGGGGGGGGGAATGGGAGACATCTGTAATACTATCAACAATAAAAAATATATTAAAAAAAGAGTAACACATGTTTCTTCCTGTCTCATATTCTTAAGTGACCCTTAAATCAAACAAGCATGACTTGTGGACTGCAGTCATAAAGAAGTTAGTTTTTTGTCTTCTAGTCTCTCTTAAAATGTCTAGGGAAAAACTGGGTGAACTCAGGTGCTAAGACTCTTATGGACTCTCACGGGTGTCAAAACACAGTCTCGATACAGTTGTTGAATGTTCTGTCCAAGGTGATAAAACTTTTTTGGTTGTTGTTAATCCTCACCTGAGGATATTTTTTCCATTGATTTTTAGAGAGATTGGAAGGAAGGGAGGGAAGAGGCGGGGGGGGGGGGGGAGAGAGAGAGAGAGAGAGAGAGAGAGAGAGAGAGAGAGAGAGAGAGAGAGAAATCGATATAAAAGAGACACATCAATTGGTTGCCTCTTGCACACACCCCAAACAGGGCCGGGGATCGAACCTGCAACCCAGTTACGTGCCCTTGACCAGGAATAGAACCCGTGGCCCTTTGGTGTGTGGGCCAATGCCCTAACCACTGGGCAACTCCAGCCAGGATAATCACAATTTTTTTTTTTTAATATATTTTATTGATCTTTCACAGAGAGGAAGGGAGAGAGACCGAGAGTTAGAAACATCGATGAGAGAGAAACACCGATCAGCTGCCTCCTGCACACTCCCCACTGGGGATGCGCCCGCAACCCAGGTACATGCCCTTGACCGGAATCGAACCTGGGACCCTTCAGTCTGCAAGCCGACGCTCTATCCACTGAGCCAAACCGGTTTCGGCCACAATTTTTAACTTAAAGTTATGGCTTCTCTCCTTTTTTAGTTTGGGCTTGCCGCAAGCAGGAAACCTGCAGTTGGAGAATGAAAGCACAATCCTCCTTTCTTTCTGATTGTCTGCTACTCGGGTTCATTGCCAGCCTCTACACCTGTGCCCCCAGTTGGGTAACTGTTTTCTGGCCCCTCTGGTGTTAGGCCATGAGGAGGGGAGAGAGGAAAAGACGGTAAGGAAGTGGTTACCTATCCGATACTGCTGTGATGTCGCTGACACGTCCCCTTGTGGGGCACTTTCCAGAGTCTCTCAGAAAATGTAACCTCATTACTGGGCATCTGTACCCCGAAGTTCTCTTGATGGGATCAAACGCATCTCTCTTTCATCTGGTTCTTTGCTTTGCCTTGGCCTCTAGGACCCTAACATCACCCCCAGCTTCCCTTTGCTGAGGTCTCTATGTCCCACTGAATTTCCTTCTTAGAAAGGACCCGAAATGACCTTACTCATTTCTCCTGAATGGCCCACATCCGTTTCATAGAAAACATTCATGTATTTCTTACCTTGATAAACCCTGGAGGAAGGGGACAGGATATTCCCAACCAAGTAACTTCTCCTTTGCTCTGCTGTCTGCTGACTAGTCTGTCTATCTCTTGCCCCTTTGAACTTGTAGGTGGGTTCAGACACAAGCCCACTGTCCCCCCTAAATGGCAGGAGCCAAATGTTAAACCCTTCTCTTTGGATGATCCTCTCAAAGCCCCTTTCTTTTGACTGGAGGTTATTAGGAGGTGGGTGGGGCTCACAGCTCAGCTTTCCCTGAAGAAACCCTCCCTAGTCACCTACTCCTGAGCCTTTATACACTCAGTGTGTAAGTCTTAAGAGTTGTCTAACCTGTTTTCTCTCTAAATTCTTGGTCTAGTTCCCCAGGTTGAAATTTGCTACCTGTTGTGCCTCAGATGAAAAGTCTATTTTGACCTCTGAAATAAGATATCACTGGCTTCTTCACCTAGGATTAAGTTCCCATTAGACCAGTGTTGCCCAATAGAAATATAATGCAAACCACATATGTAATTTTCCTAGCAATCAGATTTAAAAAAGAAACAAGTGAAATTAATTTTAATAATAGATCTTACTTAACCCAAACTGTATTCAAACTGTTATCCTTTCAATGTGGAATCAATATTAAAATTATTAATGAGATATTTTACATTCTTGTTTTGCACTAAGTCTCTGAAATCTGTAATTTACATTCACCCCACATCCCAATTCAGACCATCTACATACCAAGTACTCAGTGGTCACAAGTTGTCTAGTGGCTACTGTAGGACAGGCTGGCGGTAGACTATAAGTTCTACAGGCAGGATTGGCGTCCTTTTAAAAAAGTTATTAGATTCAATAGATATAAAGTTACATTTCAATAAATATGATTGGTGTTCTTCTTCGTCATTGCTATAAACCATAGTGCTTGGCATAGAGGAGGTATTTGATATTCGTGAAATTGAACTGAAATGTAATAGAATGAAGAAATTATCAAGGGAATTGTTCAACAGCTTCCCACAGCACTTACTGTCTAAATTACTCAGTTCTGCACACATTCAGTTTGCCCACATGGTTTGTAATTCTCTTATTCCAGAAGCATTTAAGCTCCAAGGAGGGGGCGGTGTCTTTGTCTTGTCCCCATAATCTACCACAGTTCCTAGTCTTGTAATATGGAGACTCATACAGTCAACAAATATTGATTTAGTGGCCATGCTGGGGCCATTGTTTTAGTTGCTGGGGATACTGTGTTGAACAATGTAGACAGTCTCTGTCCTGTGGAGTTCAGAGACAATAAAAAATAAGGGCTATGAAGGAAAAAACTGAGGTGGCAGGACAGGGTATGATTGGGGGTGGAGGAGCAAGGAGTAGGGAGAAGTAGCCAGTCCTTTGAAGAGCGAGGGGAAGGGCAAACTGATTGCCTTACCACGTTCTGCAAGCTCTCTCCTTTCCAGCCACACTGGCTGTTTATTTTCTCAAACATCCCAAACTCACTTCTTTTCATTTTCTGTTCCCTTGCTTGTGCTGCTGTCTTTTTCTTCTTCTATAGCTGGTGTCTTCTCATGCCACAGCCCAATGCTCCCTCCTCGAGGTGACCTTCCCTGACCACCCTAGCTACAGGGCTCGTCCACCACATCACCGAATTTTGTTTATTGTCACAATCTGAAATGATCTTGTTTAATCATTGGTGATCTCCCACACCACAGGGAAAGCTCTAAGAAATTAGGGACTCTGTCTTGACAATTGCTCTCTTCCTGGGCCTAGAAAAGTGTCTCTATAACAAATGCATGACCCATAATTATGATCAATAAATATTTATTGAATGAATGAATGAATAAGTTAACGTTTTTGGGAGGCAGACTTTGAATGAGGCCACAATCTAAATGAAATCAGGGAAGAACTGTACTATTGTTTTACACTGTGTTCTCTGAGAAGGAAGATGGGGTTAATGCACATAGAAGTTGTTATCTTAGAGGGTCTTGGGCTTCTGGTTCTGGCTCTTTTGAGAATCTACAGTAATGGCCCATCCTACTGGGTAAATGGACGAGCTTTTGCATATAACAAAGGGGAGGGGGATCCTGGACTTTCTGAAGGAGGTAAAAGGACCCCAAGTTAAATATTCCTGTAGAAATGAGAAGCCTCACAGCAACACCTTATGCATGAAACACCTTTAAAGGCGTCTTTGGGGAGAGACGGTGTACAAAGAATTCCTGAAAACCAAATTCTTTCCCACTAGCAGCTCTGCCTGGCTGTTGCTATGGACGCTTGCCTTCTCCAATCAACGCGCGGCTTGCTGGGCTGTGCGGAGCCGTGGTTGCTGTGGCAACGGATGGCAACAGCTCTGGGACCTCCACGTTGTGGGAAAGAGAGCTGACGGCTTGGAGCCGGGTGGGAGCCCCTCGATTGCAGTATCTGTGAGTTGGACGCGGGATTTCAGAGGGGAACGGGCACGGAATCGACAGGGGTGGGGGTGCACCTCCGTCCCACGGAGGTTCTTGCAATGATTATGGGGTCACAGTGTGAGGAGCACGGGGACTGGCCCGGGATCCCCTCCTCGTGTTCCCGCCCTTCGCCCTTCGTCCCAGGGGCTCTCCAAGTTTTCCAGACCCCACTCCTTCCCCATCTCCCCTGGGTCTCACCCCCGTTAAAATAGCAGAACCTCCAATTTCTGTTTTTGGGATTCCCCAGCCAGACAGGTAGCTAGCGCCAGGGGTTGGCCTGAAGGATAGTAGTCAGGGGTGTCCTCCTTGCGTCTAACTTCTGGCTATGAGGCCTTGGGCAGGGTAAATCATTTTCTGTATTTCCTCACCAGGACAATGGGGTGCCACCCCCCCCCTTCCCTCCTCCCTCTCCTCTCACTTCTCAGGATGAGTGTGGGGATCAAGTGCAAAACTAATACACCCTCAGATGTACTTCTCCTATATAGTCTCATTTCACAGCCACAAAGGTCCTGTGAAGTGACTATAATGATTGATCTGCCTTTACAGTTGAATAACTTGGTCACAGGAAGTGCCCCATGATTAGGGCTAGTGAGTGGCTGTCCTTATGATTCTTCACCACCACCTATGCTGGCTACTCATGTCCGGGTCTCTGTGTGCGCACCTGTTTACCTGCCCCCTGCCTCTATTGGGTCTTGTCCTTTTCATTTCAGAATGCTCCAACCCGTATTTATCTCACCACATGATTCATTCCTACTCTCCTTTTCTTGACTCCTTCAAGTAATTGAGGCCCTACTTCATATCTAGTACTAACCTAGGTGTTTTGCAGAAAAAACAATATTGTTAAGACAGGATCTGTGACCTTAATGAGTTTATATAGTAGAGTCACATTTTTCTGGATGAGGTTCAGAAGTCAGTGGTAAGGTCAAAGTTGAACACAGTGTAAAATATCTCAGGGAATATCCCTTAAATAACCCAGGAACAACCCAATTCAGACACTGAACCATTGAAAAGCTTTAATTCTGGGAATATTTAAACACATTTCATAAAATTATAATTTATAGACTTTTCCTGTTTGTCATAAATTAATCCTATATAATAAAAGACTAATATGCAAATTGTCCCCTCGACCTGGAATTCAAACGGTAGTTCAACTGGGAGTTTGACCAGGGGGTGGGGCTGGCCGGCCAACCACCCATGACCCCTCCCTCTGGCCGGCCCTGCCCCTAATGGCCCCCCCCCATCAGGGGCGGGGCAGCCTGTCAACTGCCCGCAGCTCCTCCCCCTAGCTGGCCCAGCTGGATTGGCCCCGATTGGGGTGGGCCAGCTAGAACCCACCTTTGCATGAATTCATGCACCGGGCCTCTAGTAGAAGGATAAATTTATGAGTTCTGTTATGTCTTTATTCCTCTAAATTTTGCTGTGGCCCCCATTTCATAGCTCAGTTTCTTCTCTGAGAATGTTGAGGAGGCTATCACCATTTGAGTGGCTACTTGGACATCACTCTTTGCTTGGTGGGCTGGTAAATCCTTGAGGTTGTTCTGTAGTCTCTTCAGTCTGCACTGTACAGTCTGTTCTAGCATTGATGAAAATGACTAGCATTTTCAGGACTACCATCTCATCTCATTCTATAGCCCACTGATTGGAACAGCAAAGACAATCACCCAACTATTTTAAAGGTTATTTTTTTTTGTCTTTTGATTTAGCTAGGTATGAATATAGTTGAAATCCATAGTCCCAATTGATGTAACTCTTTTGGGGTCTTATTATAGAGATTGTACTTGTCCTGCATACGCATCAACACTTGGTATTATCAGTCTTTCAAGACTTTGTCCTTCTGATGGGAAAGTAATGGTTATCACTTGTTACAGTTTTCATTCGCCAGCTTACTAGTGAGGTCCTTGGATCATTGATTATTATGATTCTTGACTATTGATAATTGATCTGTGGATTGTGTGTCTTTATCTTTGTCCAATTTAAATGTGACTTCTTTTTGTGTTGATTTGTAGGAGTACTGTACACACCCTGGATATGGATGGTTTCGTGCTATGTTGAAATATAACTAAAATTAATATTTTCTCCCGTTATGTTCTTAGCTGTTTTTTTAAAGTCAGGTTTATATAATGTACCTGTAAATTATATATAGCTTACATATTATAAAATTCACCTATTTTAAGTGTACTGTTCCAGGAGTTTTGAAAAATGTAGTCATGCTACCACATAAATGTATCTAGAATGATTGCAGTAGCTCAAAAAGTTCCCTGGTGCCAGTTGGAGTCAATCCCTTTCCCCACATCCAGTCCCTGGCAACCAATGATCTGAATTCTCTGTGTTTTCCAGAATGTCATATAAATGGAATCATAAACTACATAGCACTTTTTTTCTGGCTTGTTTTAGTTAACACATTGCTTTGAGATGTATCCATGTTGTTGCATGTAACAGTATTTCATTCCTTATTACCGCTGAGCGCTATTCAGTTGAATGGATGGAGCACCAGTTGATGGACATTTGAGCTGCTTCTTGTATTTGGTGATTATGGATAAATAAGTTTGCTATCACTACTCACATACAGGTTTTTGTACAACATAGTTTTTTTTTGATAAATACTTGGGCACTGTGGGATTGCTAGGTTCTATGGTAAGTGTATGTTTAATTTTATAAGAAACTGCCAAAGTTTTCTAAAGTGACTACTATTTTGGATTTCCACCAGCATAGAATGAGAGTTTCACTTGTTCCACAACCGTACCAGCACGCGACAGTTTTCTTAATTTTAGTTATTCTTATATAGACTTATTCTTATTTCATTGTGCTTTTAATTTGCATTTCTCTGATGACTAATGATATTGAACAACATGTGCTTTTTGTGTTATTCTAGCTCTTCTTTGGTGAAGTTATCTGTTCATATCTTTTACCCATTGTTATTCAGGTGTTTTTATTGAGTTGTCTTTAAAGTAAAAAAAATTTTAAATTTTGGTGAAGTCTAATTTGTCAATTTTTAATTTTATGGTTTGTGCTATCCAAAACTCTTTGCCTAGCTTAGATTTTCTTCTTGAAATGTTATAGATTTGGGTTTTACATTTCTTTTCACATTTTATGTATGAGAACTATTCTGGAGAAGGCACAGCAATACCTTCGCCTTGTGTATACGAATGATCTGTGAAATCACAAAGTAGAGGGGAATTGCTCTCTGTTCTTAATTAGTGGCATAGTTCCACAAGCTTCAAAATAGGGTTGAGAATGTTTCTCCATGTTAGCAGCGAAAACATTTAGAACATGAAAATTTTCATCAAGTTTGAAAGAAGCCCACAAAACCTGTGAATATTGAAACCGTGTTTAACTGGTACACTTGGGCATCTGTGCAAAGTAGAGATTCTTGACTTAAGGTGTATGGACCTTTAGATTCTGTGTTTATGTTCGTCTTTTGGGGGACAGTTCAGAGCATTTATCTGATTCCCAATGGGACTTGGACCTCAAAAGTTAAAGACCATTTGGTTTAGGACGAGCACATTTCAGAACGCAGGGGACCGGAATATACTCGGTCATCAAAGGTGAGGAAGCAGCCTGGTGGTGTGGCTCAGTGGTTGAGGTCACAGGTTGATTCCCAGTCAGAGCACATGCCTGGGTTGCGGGCTCGATCTCCAGAGTAGAGAGCTTGCAGGAGGCAGCCGATCAATGATCCTCATTGATGTTTCTATCTCTCTCTCTCCCTTTCTCAAATCAATAAAAAATAATATATATATATTTTTAAAAATAAAGAAGCAACTGTTTCCTGAGGGCAGTCTCTTCCTCTCAACTGATTTCTTCCAAGATCTACCTCTTCATTAACTCCACAAAGGCACTTAGCAAGTGGCTGTTCTTCATATAAAATGTCTTGCTAAGGGGATAAGGGCTTGAAATCAAGCAAAAAACAAACAAACCAAAAAACCCCAACAAAACACACACACACAACAACTGCAAGAAGGATTGAGGTTGAGCAGAAAATAAGTGAGGAATTGACATATCACAAAATGCCTCTCTTGAAACTTAATTTGAAAAACTGTGCAGTCAGTCTTTTCATTTCTTTGAGGATTTAAAGTGCTTTAGTTCTCTGATATTTTTAAGGGTCATATTTATCCCTTGTGGTGATAGGGAAGAAGAGTGGGCTTTTAAAAAGTGTTCTGTGCTTGATTGAAAGGCTTGTCGGAGTATATGATATTGTTAAAGTGTTCTTCATCTTGAAATGAATACTGAAAAGTCAAACATGGTTGACTTTGAAGAAAAATTAGTATGAAATGATTTAAAAAAAAACAAAAAACCCACACACAGAAGAAATCTCTTGTAATTTCACTGGCAGTTCATAAATCTGTTATATTAAAACAAAAAAATCTCCACGCTTTAAGAGGCTGTCTCAAATGTCCTGAATCTGACTGCATCTGTGTATGTTTTTATTTCTTTAACGACTGTTGTAAGCCCAAGTGAGATTAACTTGGCCTAATTCTATGTTCTGTGCAACTATGTTGTTGATGCTTGTTTTTATTATAAACAATCCACCCAAGTTTGCAGCAGTGGCTTTGAAAAATCCCTAATTAAAATAAATTTCAAGGTTAAGCTATTTTTATTCATGCCTAAAAACAATTACCAGTACTTGCGGCTTTAAAAATAATAACAGTGTGGTAAGCATATTTCAGAACCAGGAAGGCAGAAATTTGTGTTTATGAGAGCCAAAAAATTAGTCTGGCAATACTTTGTGACGCCTCTGGTAATTAATTATAGGTGATGTATATTATATGAAATCTCAAAAGTTTAGCAGGAAGAGCGGAAAAAAGGGCCCTTACGTATTTCATTTCTGATATAATCCCTGTCACTCTCAGCGGGAATTAAAGTTTAATAAAAAGGAATAACAGAGGGATACAATCTAAAAAAAATGCTAATTAATAACTTTAGTCCTACCAGAGTGAGATTCTGTAATAAATGGTAGGCTGTCAGTTGCTAACTCA